TTGTATGGGTCAAAGGAAGAAGAGTAGAAGGGGTAAACCTAGCTTCACATCCTGGAGTAAGAAGCTATGCATACATTTGATCACACCTCACTCTCTGATCATGAAAATGCTCTTGGCTGCATTGGCCCGAGCTAAGTTCATAGGTCAGAGCCAAGAGAGGAAAAAGAAAGGGGCCCAAGCAGGGGCTGAACAGAAGACCACAGCTCCCTTCCGTAGTTCCGTTCTTATCAGAACGCTAGTACCTAGATTCAATTCACTAATAAACCTATAGTCCAGATTTTTTGTGTGAATTTTTGCATACTATTTAATCTCTGAATGTAGGTTTCTTTATTCAATGAAGGTGATAATATTTCTCAAGTTTCTTTCTTTTTTTTTTGAAACAGGGTCTCGCTGTATAGTTCAAGCTTGCCAGGAACATCCTATATAGATCAGGCTGGCCTTGAACTTGCGGCAATCCTCCAGCCTCATCCTTCCGAGTGCTGGGATTACAGGCATGCGCCACCATGCCCAGCTTCAAGTTTCTTAAAGGAAATAATCCATGTATGGTGCTTAGCTTAGTGCTTAAATACAGAAAATGATCTGTATGGTTATCATATTGCCATCATTCTTATCATCATTTGTTTCATAGAATCCCAAAACCCCTGAACCCTGATCTGAGGCAGCCCCTGCTTCTACACTTTTTTTCACTGCTCTGGCTTCTCAAGGAAATAAGTACACAGAAACCAGGAATAGACAAGTGCTCATGCTTCATCACTGCAAAGCTTTTGCCAGCTGAGCTGGAGGCCATGTTTGATCTGGTGTTTATACTTCTCCTCTGCCAAGACAGAGGCTCTAAAACTTCTAAAGCTGAGAGCTAACTTTGCCTTAGCCTTCCCAAATGTTCTTAGAGTAGGACATTCATGAGAAAGGCAGCTTAGGGTGGGAATGGGATGGGAGGCTAGTTGGGAGGTAACCCTTGGTGAAGATGCTGAGAAGTGGTCAGATTCTGATGAATTCTCAAGGAGGTGCCAGCAGGATCTGCTGATGGATTCTGTGTGGCCTGCAGAGAAGGGAGTGCCAAGGATGACCAGGGTGTGTGACCTGAGAAGCTGGAAGGATGGAGACTTTCATCTGTTATTTTGTTACCATGTAATAGTGATTCTCAGTCCAGAGGGCATGTACATTTTTTATTAGATTTACCCTTAGGTGTTTGATGTTTTTCTGTTTATTTGCTGGTCTGGAAATAGAACTTACTCTTATTTATTGACCTTTTCTCCAACAACCTTGCTAAGCTCATTCATCAATTCTAGCAGTTTGTCTGTCAAATTTTTAAGATGTTCTATGTATATATAGTCATATCATTAGTTAATAGTTACGGTTGTATTTCTAGTCTATACTTTTTGGTTTTTGTTCCTACTTTGTTGTACAAACTAGAGCCTCCATATGCTGCTACACCGAAGTATTGATAGAAGGTGTATTCATCTTAATTTTGTTCACAGGGGGAATAGTTGCAGTATTTCACTATTAAATGTGATGTTTGCCACAGATTCTTTTGAAAGTATTCTTTATCAGATTAAATAGATTGTCTTTTGGTCCCACTGTGCTGACTATTTTTATCATGATTAGAAATATGTTAGAGTTGATGAAAGGCTTTATTTTTAAGTGTACTTTAGAGTTCTCAGTCCTATCAGATCCCAAATCCCTCTTCCCATAATAAATTATGTGAAAAATTGAAATTTGCATAATGTAACCCACCTACACTTACATATTTTTAAAATATAAAGAAGAAAAAGTGTAATTTATAATAAAATAATTATTCATCATATAAATGTTCTGGTATGACTGTATTACCATAGAAAGTATCCACCAAATACCCAAAGCTATTTTTAGGGTAGTATTTCACTCCCATTTAGAATCAGTGTTTTAGAGGATAATGGTATAGATTTACATTTATAGCAGACTTCTTTGATCGGAGATGAATCATTAATACTACTAGGAAATACTGTCATTAGGATAACTATAGGGCTGTAGGTATAATGACAAAAAGACCATTTTTCTTGTGATATCTGAGATAAAGTTTATTCAACAAATATTTACTGAGCATCTGCTAAGAGCCATGCACTGTTCTAGTTCTTGATAGTAAAACTGAGTAAAACAAGGCTGCTTAGATGATGTGCTCAATGGAAGAGTAAAGTATATAACATGTAAGAAAGTGATAAGTGCTACAAAGAAAAGTAAGTCAAGGTAAGGGACTGGAGAGCTGTGGAGTAAGTGTATATATGTTTTTAGAGAGGGGAGCAGGAATAAAGTCTGAGCAGAGATTTTTGGCATCTGGTCGTTAAGCATCCTAGGAAGAGGAAAGGGAGCATGCTTTGTCCAAGAGTTGAACAACAGCAAACATTATTTACTATCCAACATGTGCCAGCAGTCACTATTTGTTGCCTTATTCATCCTTTTAAATGATCGGATGAAGTTGCCAGTGATATCCTCCTTGACAGAGGCAACAAGGCACACAGATTACAAAGTGTTGCAGTCAGGATTTAAATCCCAGGGCACCTGGTTCCACAGCCAAGGAATTGGAGAACTAGATGCTTCCTAAAGCTCTCTTCTTTGCAGGTCTGTCACGTGACCATCAGAACAGTTTGTTCAGAGAAAATGGAGGACAGAGTAGTGAATTTGGTGTTGTTGTTGTTGTTGTTGTTTTTACAGTGTCTTGTTACACAGTCCAGGCTGGCTTTGAACTCACTATATCATCCAGGCTGGACTCAAATTTATGATTGTTCTGTCTCAGCCTCCTGAGTGCTGGGATTACAGGCCTGGCTCACCATGCCCAGCTGAATAGTGAGCTTGAAACCATAATCATTTGCAGTTCCTTATGTAGTGTTCTAAAATATTACTGAATAAAGATAGGGTTTTTTAAAAATATTATGAATGGAAAGCACTTCAAATTAAGTTAAAATTAATAAGAATTATTCATTTGGGGGGTATCTTTTTTATATTACTTTCTAACATTTTATTTTGGCCGTTTCCTTAATAATAATTGTCTAAACAGAAATATAAACTCATTTGAACTGATTAATGCTGAAAAATTTATAATCTTGGATTTATTGAACTTATTATAGATTTAACACAAATAAGCAACTGTAAACTGAGAGCTTTGTGAAATATCGTTGGTAATATGTACATTGTTAATACTTAACTATGAAATTTTAAAGTTCAAGTGAAAGACATTGTGTCATACTTTTGACCCTCAGGGCCATCCATCTAAGAGCTATTCAGTTTGTAAATGTATTTCTACTGCCCTAATGCTACAGCGTCCTGTGAAACTGAGATCCAGATACATTAAATAATAATCATGGCTGACATTTGAGGGTTGCTACCTCTAAGTATTATTCTGAGTTCTCCACGTGCTTTGAACCTTTAATTTGAATGTCAGTATATCTAAAAGAAGGGAATATTTTATTAGCTTAGACGACCTGATCATTCTAGTAGTCTAAGAGTATTATCCTTAGAGTAACTGGAGGAGCAATGTGATATATTAAAAATTAATTGTGGAAAGCTTTTGATCTAGTTTTAAAGTGATTAAACAAAGACTGAATCCCAGGAGTATATGGACACCAGTGTCACTTTTAGTAAAATCGATGTTTACACACACATTTGAGTACTAAAAGTAAAACAGATTATTTTAGCCTTTATTAGGTAGCAGTTAAAAACAGGGAAAGAGGCAACATGTGCAGTGGTTGGGCCATAGATTTTTTTGTTGTGCTGCCGGGGTTCAGAGCCATTCCTTCATATGCTGCCTCAGTGAGCCGAGCAAGTTACCTAACCTCACCACGCCAAGCTTCGTTTATTCGCCTGTAATTTAGGCTTCCTGACAATACTTGTTTCAGGACGAATCTCTGTACAGTTCTTGGCATCCAGCAGTCATGGTTCCTTGGGAGCATCATCATACATTGGAGTCTTCCTTGTTAAATTGAAAGGCAGAGGAAAAATTCCTTATGGACACAGACTACTTGAAATTAAAGGAAACACAAATAAAATAGCCTTACTAAGAAAATTCTTTTATTATAAGACAGTGTCTGGCTAAGTTGGTTTTTTGGGTTTTTTTTTGGTACCGGGTATCAAACTTGAGACCTTCCACTTGTGAGGCAAGCGGCACCACTGAGCTAAATCCCCAGCCCCTGGCTAAGTTATTTTAATTAAAATATCTTGATTCAGAATGCATTATTAAAATAATTAAATAATGTAACAGAATTAATTTTAGCAATATAGTTTTGCCACATGTTATGACAGGATTGACCAAAAAATAGAACATTATCAATGTTAGTAAATAGCTGTATTTTAATATATCATACTCTTAGTCTTTTCATATGTTATTACCTCTTTTATTTAGTTTTATAACCAGTTAGCTAGTGGATTTTTAAATAGCTGTTCTAATTTGTGTGTGAGTCCCAAATCTTATACTGTGATGGAATATACATTTCTTGAACTCTTAGTTCAGTTCTTGCATGGAAATTGTTTGGAGAACCTGATACTAGTATGTGTAACTTAGCAGGGTTGCTCTAGGTGTTTGACTGGCAAAGAGTTTCTTTGGAGAGTATGTGTCAGCCCATTTCTTCTGTCAGACTAAGAAATCAAATAATTAAAAACATTGTGCTGAGAGATACAAAGGCACATATCGCTATTAAGGAGACTTTGTATGTTTTTAAGGATATGTAGTTGCCAATTACCCTGATGTGATCATTATACTTTGTATGCATGTATTGAATTATCACACTGTGCTGCATTAAAAAAACAGAAAGATCACTTTGGAAATCCTTATAAGTAAAATTATAAGTCTGAAGAAGAAAACCTTTTACAAAGAAAACAAAATTTTCAAAAGTTAGAACATTGCATATATTTTTTCTATTAGATGATTTATGAATATATTGTTATTGCCCATGATTTTAAATATCTGAAACAATTAGAGTGTTCATATTAACCAAATAGGTGTATAATAACTACTATTTATTTTTATAAAGGTTCAGAGGTCAAGAGAAATAACATCTTGTGGATAGCCATGGCAGGAATCCATCAGATATGGGCACTCCTGCTGGATTCCAGCAAGCTGCCAAAGAAGAAGTAAGTGTCTGCACCTCTCTTTCAGTGGACGCACTCCTTGGAGTTCACAGGATTCCCTTTCCCAGCCATGTAACCACACCCACTGTACTAATCAGGATGTGCTGTATTAAAACCACTGTAACAAACAGACCACACTCTGAGTGGCTGAGAAGAAGGCTTTTTTCTTGCTAACTTGCGTAGGTTCAGTGGGAAGCATTACTTTACCAACCAGGATGAAGCAGCTACCATTTGAAGCTTTGCAAGTCATCCTGGCAGAGGAGGAGAGAAGGAGGTGGTGAGTCACTGGCTCCTAAAGCTTCTGCTCCGCTCCAAAGTGACACAGCACCTCTACTCACGCTTCCTCAGCTACAGTAAGCCCTGCAGCCACACCTAACTTCTAGGAGCCAGGAAGAACAATCCTCCTGAGAACCCTGTAGGAGAACTAGAAATATTTGACGGGCTTTTTCATTTAAAACATAGTTCAGGTATCTGTAGGAGTTCCTTCAAATAGGTGAGTGCCCCAAGGCAGTTATTAGTAACACAGGTTTTGTCATCAGGCCTGAAGTTGAATCCTGACTCTGCCACTCACTATCTCTGTGCACTCGAGAGAGGCCCTTTTACTCTCTAAGCCTGGCTTTCCTGACACATCACCTCATAGGCTTGCTGAAAGAGTTGAGCAAAGTGCCTGACACGCTGAGTGTGGGTAGCTCTGCTGCCACCTTTGGGTGTGTAAAGATGAAAAGGCAGTGTGCCTGCCCAGCCTCAGTCTTCTCCCTCCAGGGTCCTCCCTCCTGCCCCACACAGAGCGGCCGCACGCTCCTCTCTGGCCTCACTGAACCTGTGTGTAGTCACATCACTGCACTGACAGCTTTGGCCTGCCGCATTCCCTCTTCTCTCCCTCTCTCTCTTTGGTTGTACTTACTTTTAACGAGTTCTTCCTATCAGACTACCTTTTAAAGAAAGGAGCCCTGTCTTGTTCGTTTTTGTGTCTACACTACAATATCTGATACATAATAGGAGCTCATTAAAACCTTGTAAAATAAATACATGAGTGAAAGTCATAGACTATAAATGCTGAGTCGCCATGAAAAGTAAGTGCTGGTTATCTCTCATTTTTATCAGCAGAAAGGAGCAATTGTGTAGATCAGCCAAAATAGCAGATATTCCAGATAGTGTGTATGTGTATGGATGTTGCTTTGGAACACATTTATATCATGCTTTGTAATCATTTATTTAAAAATATTAATATACTATATGCTAGGTACTCTGCTGGACACTGAGGGTGAAATTACATGCTTACTGTTAAAGGTGAAATGAAAACATGTGGTGACTTCATTGCACTTAAAGAAGCAGAATAGATCAGCAAACAAGATGTAGTGTGTGTAAAATGAGTCACTGAAGTAACCCTTTAAATTGAAATTGTCCTGTATAAAAGTTAAGAGAGACACCCATTATCGGTAAGATTTGAGATGTCAAAGAAGACCTCCTGGAAGTGCCAGGAGTTAGGGAGGTTTTCCAGGCCCAGAGCTGACACGACTGATGTCAGTGGAATCCAGATCACGCCATGCCTTCTGAGTCCTTGTAGAGATTCGGACATTCTGCAGGCCTTACAGAAAGTTTTAAGCTGAGAAGTGACACGATTAGGTCTCTTTGAAAGAACCCTGGCAGCATTCTGAGAGACAAGGCAGGAGACCGAGATAGCACTAAGAGAGGCTGTTGCTGTTTTCCAAGCAAGAGAACAGCACAGCTTACCAATAACGAGCCTGTGAGACATAGCTAAACAGCCAGCAGAAGTAACAGCTTGCCAGAATGTGCTGTTCTGGGTGATGGCTGTATTGGATGTAGATGATCAAGGGCTGCCTAAACTTCCTCATAAGTGGAGTCGTTAACTTTTCTTCATAATAAGAAAATGATCACTCAGGTCACGTCGACTGCATCTTAATTTTAGGTATGTTTTATCCTTCTGTGTGACTGATCATCAGGTGGTAATAGCCCCTAATGTTTGTTTGCCAGTACTGGGTACCAAACCCAGAGCTTAGATAAGCACTCTACCACTGACCTACATCCTCAGGCCTCCTGATTTTTAAGTTATAATTTCTTGCCACTCCTTTTTTTTGGTACCAGGGATCAAACTCGGGACCTTGAGCTTTCGAGGCAGGTGGTGGCACCACTGAGCTAAATCCCCAGCCCTCCCCACTCCTTTTGTTAAGGAAGCTTCTTTTTTAAACTGTTAAGACTCCTTACCATAATTACTTTTTGGTTTATTTGTTTTGCATATTATTACCCATATTTCACTGGCCTATTGTTATAAGCTCCGTGGATAAATGCCTGTCTTTTATACACTCTTTGCCCCTTTGCTTTGTCCCCTGCTTCCCACCCACCTTAGCATTGGGAACCAATCAGTAAATGATGGTCATTTTACCTTCTCCACTTGCGTCATATTTAAAAGTTATGCATATAGCCCCTCACTTTGCATCCTAAGCCTGCTTCTTCCCTTCCCTCATATAGCATACTACCAGTCTTCTTTACAGTCCTTTGGGCATAAATTTAGAAATCAAGCTGTAAAACTTTCTCTAAATTACAGGGGTACCATCGGAATACTCCTTTAAATAGGCATTTCCCTAGTATACAAAAGAAATTGATTCTGTACACTTGATTCATTAATTTGGTATAGTCATTCTGTATCATCTTCAAGAGCTTGATCATTTTAGATCTCTTTTAGCACCTGCCATTGCATGAAGCTAAGAAGAAATCAAGAAATGGAAATAGATCTAATTTATGTCTAACTGTTATTCTTTTAATTCTGATCCTGTCAGGAATTTCCTGTGTGGCTTTTGAGAGACATTTCAGTTATTTGCATGTTGCAGGAAAGTAGGAAGGCCTGTACCTACCAGCTATATAAGTTAATGACTGGAAAAACTGCAGTGAAAGGTGCCTGGCAGAGTTTAGGCCAAGATCATTTGTTTTCTTTTCTTTTTTACAATGTTGTCACCATTGATTGTTTCCCTCACATGCATTTCATACCTACCTTGAACACGTTTCCTACTTGATGGCTCCACCTATGAACTTGTCTTTCAGTGAGCTAAAAAAAGGAACCTGTCTTCGGTTTGCTGGCAGCGGAAATGAAGAAAATCGAAACAATGCATATCCTCACAAGGCAGGTTTTGCCCAACCCTCAGGTCTGTCTCTGGCCTCTGAAGATCCCTGGAACTGCCTGTTTGTAGCTGACAGCGAGAGCAGCACTGTGAGAACTGTCTCCCTGAAAGACGGAGCAGTGAAGCATCTCATTGGAGGAGAAAGAGATCCCATGGTAAAGAAAGTCACTTTTACAGTGTGCCCAGACCCTGACCGTGCTAGCAGCTTTCTGAAATGTGAGATGTTATCATGAAGTCTAGGAGAGATGACTCTTGGCCTATCATCCATCCATTAAAATGGAAGTCAAATAAAAGGAAATGTAAATATAAAGAAACACAAGTAAAGCCATCTGAGAAAAATAATCTCATTCTACTTGTTCATGTATAAATGTTAAAGCCTCAGGGAAAAAGAAAGGATAAAATATTGATTACTAGAGAGAAGAGAAATATCTACCTTACCTAAACATTTGCCAGAGAATTGGAAAGAACACCAGACTAGTAGACTTGACCTGTTCCTGACCACGTCCCGGAACTGTTGTGAGTAAAATGACAATGCACCAAAAATTAGTACAGACTCAAAAGTCTATAATTTTCTAGTCTGCATCCATTACCCAGCCCTGTTTATATGAAAATCAGTCCTTTCCCCTCGAACTTGAATAGCACATTCAACTATCTTAATTTTTACTTTATAGCTTAAAACACTGTAAAAATTTTAATAACTGCTGTTTCTTTCTCCTTAAAAAAAAAATAAAAGAATTTATTTGCTTTTGGTGATGTTGATGGAGTAGGCATCGATGCAAAGCTTCAACACCCACTTGGAGTAGCGTGGGACAAGAAGAGGAATTTGCTTTACGTGGCAGACTCCTACAATCACAAGGTGAGTCTTTACAGAATTATGCAATACCTTGCTATCTGTCCATGATGTTCAAAATGCTGAAATATCAGTGTTCTTCTTGCAGGTTCTATTCTAAAACGTAGAGGAACAACGGCCCTTGGCAACTATATACCTTTTATTCTCTGCTTCTGTTCTCTTTCTTTGTCAGGAGGTTACGATGGTATCTGAACTAGGGAAGGCACTAAACCAATTCCAATGGCTGTGAACTAAAGTTGTGAACCACTTAGTAACATATTCAGGAAATAAGAGAAGGCAAGTAGCAGGGAAAATGATAGCTATTAAAAGATGAATGTTTTTGAGTTGTTGCATACTTGTAGTGCCTGGTGGCAGATAATCCCATCGTTAACTGCACTTCTATTTTTGTCTCTTCAGTTATTTTGGTTTTTATTGCATGTTCCTTTTTATAAAAATCAGTGATAATAAATTTAATTCTTTGTGGTGAGAGGCCATACATTTAACGTACTGAGATATAACTGGTAGTCATTAAGTTTAATACCTTCAGGTACCCTCAGGCAGTACTCATGAGAAGGAAGTTCAGTTGTGAAAGTGTGTTCTATTGTGACGAAAAACAATAAAATTGATTCATTTTAATTTCAGACATAATTTCATCCAAGATCACCTCTAGAAAACATAACTAGGGATTTTATAGTTTTTGGTCTTAAAATAGAGTATCTCCCCCTAGACTGTATAATTTGAATGTTTGGCTTTTCAAGAAAACAGTAAATTTCTACTTTTTTCTGAGATCTGTTGAGAATGCTAATGGCAATCCGGATTCTTCTTACTATTATTTTTTTTGATACTGCACCTTTCCATATGACAAACATGAGATTGGTCTTCAGATAAATAAATATTTTGTTCCTTCTTCAGATTAAAGTTGTGGATCCAAAAACAAAAAACTGTACAACATTAGCAGGCACTGGAAACACGAATAATGTTACTAGTTCCAGTTTTACTGAGTCGACTTTTAATGAACCAGGAGGCTTGTGTGTTGGAGAAAATGGCCGATTATTATATGTAGCGGACACCAACAATCATCAAATTAAAGTGATGGATTTAGAAACAAAAACAATTTCTGTGGTAAGTTAAAGCATAAATTAAAGGTGTGGTTTTGATGATGATGATACTAAAGGCTACAATACTTAGAGACATGTTTAGTTAGACCCTCTCTGGTGGTGAAATTGACACATTTAGATAGACTAGTAAGTGAATGCCTCCATTGTTTTGTTTTGTTTCATTTTGTTTTTGATAGCTAGACCAACAGGCCTGCTTTAAGGCTATACTAATTCTTGGAATAAAAGTTCTGTCTGTGCTGAAATTTTGAGAAAAAGACACTGGAAGTTGGAGAGAATTTGATGAACCTTCAAAAACAAAAGGAGAGGGACTTAGATCTGTTTTAAAAAGTATAGATACACTTACGCATGCTTCAGGCCTGTACCGTGTGGGTTGGATTTGTTTTATTCAGTGATCCTTAGAATATTGTGTAATCTTTGTTTTGGATGGTGAACCTATTACCAAATAATCTTCCAGAGGAATATTTAGAAGCTGTATTTCTGAAGACATTGAAGATTGGGAGAAAATCAAGTTCCAATCAATTTTTAACAATACGGACAGGGTCTCTAATAGAATTTTCAGTGAAAAATGTGGATTATAAATTACCTCTTGATGTATCACATTGACCTGAAAATAATGCAGAAGTTTTTTTCTAAAATTCCAATAATTTGCAAGATATTTTGAAATTTAAAAAAGAGATTAAAGAGTCATCCCTCTTCACTAGACCTCTGATGTATGAATATGCCAAATAACATACTTGACAATGAAAATTATAAGAGAGTATATATTATATCCACTACTTTAAAATTCATACAATTTTTATATAATTTCCTGCCATCTATAAAGATATTAGACAGTTTAATTCTGTCTCCTTCATAAGTGTTGGTAATCTTTTTGCTAAGGTGAACTATTTTTCTGTACCCATTAAATAATCTGGAGGTTATCTATATAAATGCATCCTAATTCAGATTAGATGGCAATTAGTTTCACTGATACAGAACTCTTTTTCTCCTAAAGTCTGAAAATAAGTTCTCTTACTCCAAAGTATTTGTGCTTTAATAACAGATTTTCTGATTTCCTAGCTGCCCGTCTTCAAATCTGAAAACGCTGTGGTAGATGGCCCATTGCGCCTAGAAAAACCAAAGTCAGTACCCAAACTACCGAAATCTGCCCCAAGCATCAGGCTTTCCCCAGTGACTGTTTGTCCTGGTCAGACTCTTCAGTTCAAACTCGGACTGGACCTCCCATCAGGAACGAAGCTAACTGATGGAGTACCCAGTTGTTGGTTTCTAACTGCTGAAGGTATGCATATAATCTTGTAAATGTAAATATTCAACAAATTCTTGATATTTAATCTAATAATTTTTCTGACTTGTTATATTTCTGACATTTGGGCAAGATTTATAATAGATGTAAGAAAAAATTAATCCTGATCCAACTCTACTTTGGCACTTTTCTGTAGTCTTCAGGATTTTTGCCTCCCTTTACTAGAGAAGTGTAACTCACTGAGAGCTACACATCAGTTGTTAGCAGAGTTTCTTTAAATATGGAGTTGCCTCTGTCTCTTCCCTAACCTTGTTCATCATTTTTGTTCTCAAGAAGAACCCCTTGGGTTAAAAATATCTGAAAGAGAAAACTGAAGTGGAGCCTCCTTATTTAATCTTTTTCCATAACTCTTCCTTCTGGTCACCGTCATGCAGTCCTGCTTCCCGACATCTGTGACATAGTAAACAATGATTCTGAAGTGAAATAGTGATGGTCCAGAAGTCCTAACATAGGACTTTGTATCTCAAGTGATCTTCTCCCTAGTCTCCCACGCTCTTTCACATGTTCTCCCTCCATCTTCCATTTCCTCTTCAGCTCCTCTCATGCCCTTTCACACACTTTTTTTGTATATTACCCAAATCCTGGCTTCATGCCTTTTTACCTTCGTAAAGGGCACTCTCAGGGCAGAAGCCACTGGCCTGCAACTGTCAATTCAGTATCCAAACCAAAAGGACACCGATCTTGGTAGAGTAGCCAGGCAGACTACTGGTTAGAGTTTGAGAGCCTGGCGCTGCAGTGATTGACTGAGCCTGAGGGGAAACCACCCCCCTGACTCTCCACAGGGAAGAAAGCTGGCCATGCATGCAGTACTCAGGTGGATGGGGCTGGCCCTGCGGACAGAAGAGTACTGAATCCCTGGCCACCCGCGGCCCTCCGTGGGCTCATAGCAGGTTCTAGATTGCTGCTTTACTGGTTGTGTCTGTGTCCATAGGTCTGAAAAGAGTGCATCAATTGGAGAGCACGAATTTAATTTCTCTTCGGGTAATTAAAGAGCAGTGTATTGATTTTTAAAATAGGTTATTGACAAATTAACATTTTAAATTCTCCTTGTTAAAGGCTCAAATTAGTTAATGTTAAGTCTTTGGGATGTAAAATACCAGATAGTATTAAAGTAAAGTAGGCTGCAGGGGCAATACTGAGCTATTTTATCACTTGCCCAAAGTACTGACTTTTTTTTAAATACAGAAACAAATAAGCTTTTCAGGCAAGACTCTTAATAATTTTAAAGGTTTTGAAAATTATTTTATTGAGTATATTTGCATTTATGATTAAAGGATATTTTTCCTTTGGGGCTGGTTGGTTAGAGGCAGATATTTTTAGGGTGGTTAGACTTTGTGAAGTTTTAAGCCAAAACAAGCAGCATGAAAAAAATGACTGGCATACTATAACTTCACAAATCCTAATATATACCAAAAACATCTAAAGAAATATTTTGTGCTTTATTTCTAGATTTGAATATTAAAATAGCAGTTTATTATTTTCCTGTCCTAATTTAAAATTTAAGAAGTTCTCTATTCTTCTCTCTAGTAAAATGAAGAATTAAGTAAAACATACTTCCCAGTCCAAAAATAAGCAAAGAAAGCCAGAGTTGTGGAGAGAATTATTTAAAAGCTCCACATAAAAGCTCTGCACTTAACTCTTCAGATTATTACCTTTCACCTTCTTATTTCTCTGATTTAACATCGTTTTCTCAAATCTGATTTTTCAACAGAATATTAGAGGCAATAAAATGAAGGAGCTATGGAGAGGACTGATGAAGGCAGGTGCTCTGAGTCCGTTGACTCATCCTAAGAGGGAAAACTGGAGACCAGAAAGCTACAATGTCAACATCACATCTGTCCCTCCTCCATGGATGCTCCAGTTTTTGTACAAATGTCCTGAGTCACTGATAAGTTGTTAGATTAGGGTCCATGTACTCTCTTTCAGATGGCAGGAGAGCATTTCAGTTATTTCCCAAATCTGGGTGCTGATGCCCACCACCCTCTCGAATGTCCACATGATGCTGTGCTCCCTCAGTAGGCACAAGTGTTTCTTCAGGGAGAAGGCTCAAGATGAATAAAGAAAAAGAAGGAAAAATTACAATAATAGAGGGCTTAAAAATTTTTAGTGGTTTCTTTGACATTTTTTGGATAGATATTTAAGTCTGTATGTTAAAGTCTAGGTAGAATTTCATATATTAAATTGAGGTAGATAAAATCTCTTAGTTTCTACTTTAACTCAAGTTATTTGCAGTATTACCATTTTCTAAAGGAATGGCTGGTTTTTTATTGTTCTTGGATATTTCAGAATTCACAGTCTTAACTAGAAAGTCACTATAGAGTTGTACATCCATTCATATTCCATTAGACAGAGTTCATTTTGTAGTTTTTATATTTTATCCCTAAGTATTTTTATCCATTTGATAAAAATGATCTACTGTCTCACTTATCCTATGCTTATTTGTACAACTTATTAAAAGATTTTATTTTTAACTTTGGGCATTAAGGATCTAGAGCCATCTTTGCAGTATTCTGTTTGATTTCAATAAAAATAAGTTCATGATATATTTTACAGTGTTCAAACAAAAGAATAATTGGAATAATTAGATATAGTGGTCATCAAACTGGGAACTTCTCATAGATGTCATTATATCGTACTCATACTCATGTCCTTCGCATAGGGTATAATGCCTGGCACCTAGAGACTTTTGTTGACTGAATGGATACTGTCTTCCTCTGATTTTTTTTCCAATTTCCTATTTGTCTTCTTATGCAGTCTTAATCATTTCCTTTTTTTATTTTCCAGGCAATGAGTGGCTTCTTCAAGGACAGATACCATCTGGAGACATAGAGAACATTTCCAGCCAACCAACAATTTCACTGCAAATTCCTGGCAATTGCTTGTCACTTGAAGTAGTTCTATCTATCAGCGTGTTTCTTTATTACTGTAGTGCAGACAGCAGTGCTTGCATGATGAAGGGAATTTTATTCAGTCAGCTCTTACGGATAACAGAGACACAAGCAGGTTGCATCGCTCCAGTGGAGCTCAAGCATGCATTTTAGCCAGTCAGCCAGCAGCTGCTTGCCATATCCCCCATTCTTCATCCCCACCTTCACTGTAACTTAGGAAAAAACTGTTTCTGCCCTGGATCCCAAGATGGATATTGCTCACTTCTAGCAACTTAACTTAAAATAAAGCTATGTTCCTTATTTACTTTTTATTATAAAGAATTCCTTCATTCTAGCTCTGCTATCTAAATCATTGACCATCATTCAAACCATGACAGTATAATCTGTGCTGCTCTTTGTTACAAGACTTTAGTCCACACTGTAGTAGAAAATACTACCATAAGATAATTTGCAGTGAATACTGAAAATACCAGGCATTTTAGCTAACTTTAAAAAACCTTTTTAAATAGCATTCAGCATATTTGAATATGTAAATTTCACAGTAACTTTACACAGACTTAAGCTCCAGTTCATATTTTTGTATTAGGACACCTGCCATTCAAGCCATTAGGTCTATTTTAAGCCAAAAAAACTAAAAAAAATTTTAAAAAGTGTTTTCATTACAGTAGAAACTTAAGAGTATGTGAGTGGCTACATATCTTTATTTTCTTCTGTGATATTCTCAGTTGAGATATTTTTAACAGAGTTTCAATTTATTTTATTATAAATTATTTGTTGTTTTAACATAGCACTATTAATGCCTTATATCTTTATATAGAAAAAGCTGAACGTAGATTCTCTAGGGGGATGGAGACCTACTCCTTTGACGTGTTTGGTGGTGGTAGTGGTATACTGGTAGTGATGGTATTGGTATTTTCCTTTGAATGAACACATTCTTATCAGATAATGACGGGTCCCCAGAAATAATATGACTTTCAAAGAGAAAAGACTTAACACACATTACTGTCTGTGATAAAGGAATTATTGTGGTAACTGAATCTGATAGAAACAGGTATGTATGTTATTTTAGAAATTTACATTTCACTTGAAAGTATCAAATGAAGATTTGTTGGGTTTGGGGGTTTCTTTGGTACCTGTATTCAGAATTTAAATTATGATCATTCATTGTGATGTTTTAAAAATCAGATTTGAGCCTTCAAATTGAAATTTTCAATGTAAAATACTACATATAGTTAACAAGTTCAGTAGACTCTAATATACTACTCTAAAATATTAGGACCGAAACATGGAATGAATCGTTTACACAGTTTTTTGGGTTTTGCTTTTCTAACCCAAAGGAAACAGTCACTGAGTATTAGCAGGTCTGTAAAATTTATTATCATAATTTATCTTATTTTTTTTTGAGACAGTGAGTGTTTCTTTTAAGTTTCCCCACCTTGGTTGGGACTTGGAGCCCGCTGAGCCTTCCTCTTGCCTTAGCCTTCCCGAGTGATGGGATTACAGGCATGCACCACCCTCCCACTTCATAATTTAACTTGTAATTATTTAAAAGTCTATCCTTGTTTTTCCTAAAACTTATGCAATAAGTTTGTAATTTAATCAGCTTAGATTTTTAAAACATCAGGTGAACCATGTTTATTTAAAATATTTATAAGACAATATGGCATAATACGCTTCCCCTCCTTGAGAAACAGTGGTAAATTTAAAGTGTAATCTTAAACACCATTGTCTGTCCACTTCTTTATATTTTTTCGAAATACAGTTTTGAAATATTATTTGCTTATCTTATTTATAAGGTTAGCAGAATTTCTGAAGTAAGAGAGTATAGATTATGACTAAAATTTAATTAGCACGCTAAAGCTATTTTTAAATAGAAGTATAAATGTAAAATGGAAAGGAATCCTGTTTAAAATTATACATAATTACCTCATAAACCTACTCCCTCTACAACCAATCAAAATAATAATATTCTGTAATAAAATGATGTATAACATTGATGTTCTCTTTTGTGGAGAATAGGCCTTTTTAATCTCATTTGACACTGTACTTCTCATTTCCAGTTGGACAGGATGAGAATATTTCGGGCCAGTCATTTCCTGTTTGAGTACATAAACAGTTCACCATCTAAAAGAAGAATATACAGTTTTAACTTGCTGATGCAGAAATAATTGATAATTTATCTTTCAGTGTAATACACAGATATGCACACAGTATGTATTATATAGTTTCATATACATTAAAATCCCAAACTACTTTTTAGTATGCATTAATTTTCCCTTTGTCTAGGTTCATTTTAGGTTAGTCTTAAACTAATACTTTTCTTGATTTTTCAAAGTACAGTTTTATTGAACATTCTTATCCACTGCCAGTTTGCATTCTTTTACATTAAAAATATTCTTTATAATGAATTAGTATGATTTTGAATAAACCACCCAAGAAATATGAATAAGTTCTTAGAATTTATGACAATATAAACTTCTTACATAAGAGGAAGCACTAGAAGTTTATTTTAAAAACTTCTTGATCCATATCTGCCTTCTGTTTTCTATAGGACTTCTTAATGTTTTTTACTTTTGCTTTTCTTGCTGCATAAATTATATCCAGTGATAGTTTAAAGAGTAAAATTAAAGTGCCGGCAAGGTGGCATTACACAAATTTTAACGTATAATACCTGGAATCTTTTCCCTAAATCATTCTATTTTGTCCCTGTTTTTCCTCCTCCATGAGATCAGTTCACAAACAATAAGCTTTTTAAAAATTTATGCTCAGGATTGCTATGATCTTTGTAAAGAATTTTGCTTATCTTAAATACTCTGTCAAGCAAATATTTATATTTAACCTATTTGCAAGAGAAAATCTTGGCAGTTTTAATCACCCATAACTATAACTTTAATAAAGTATAATGACTATGAAAAACAAGTTTCTCCTTAACTGTCCTAATAATATATTATTTATAGTATGACCAGGCCTTCCAAAGGTTGTAAATCTTAACAAAGCCAAATAGAGTTTAACCCATGTGAATGAGTTTATGTGTATATGTTTATATGTGCTGGTGTATGTGTTTATGTACACAGATAAAAAGTTCAAGAAATAAATACATTTCTTTTATGGCCAGCCTTCTTTTGAGCCAGTACCACCGAGATAAGTCGATCTTTGCTTATTTTTCCAAAATTGGAAAATTTAAGAAGATAATAAAAACACTTATCTATAATATATTAATTTTGCACCTACTCAAAATTTATTAGTTTATATATGCCAATTATAAAGACGTTATGGTGTTTAAGAACAGTCATTAGGTGCTACAGGTATAGGTCAGTGGTAGAGTACACATACACAAGGCCCTGGGTTCAGTCCCCATCAAAGACTACATTTCAGGGCCAGGGATTTAGCTCAGTGGTTCCGCCGCCTGCCTCACAACCACAAGGTCCCAAGTTCGATCCCTGGTACCAAAAAAAAAAAAAATTCATAGTTCATAATTACATAAAATTATTTGCTGGGGAATATATTAATAGTGGTTCTGGATGATGAGACTTTGGAGTTTTTATTTTTCTTTTATGTATTTTTTTCAATCATGAGCATTTTATTTCTAAAACCAGAAAAAGAAAATTATAAAAAGTTTTTTAAAGATTTAAAATTACATTAAAAGCACTAACATATAATAACTTTACTAAAATCACTTTTATTACCAAAGATCAGAATATATTTTGGAGTCCTTTGGTCTACCAGTTCTCGTTATTCAAGTATGTGATTTGGTAAAGCTAAAAATAATTATGCCCCCTTTTTTTCTTTTTTTTGTAGTATAATAGTACGATGGTTAAGCACATGGACTTTGTGGTTAACTCAGTTCTAACCCTATAAAATGGGGCCAGTCTACTGCCTCATGGAGTTGCTGTATTTAATAAAATATTATTCACTGAGCATGTAGTAATTAACGACATAACTACCTAACAGCTTAAGTAATAATGGTAATAATTTGTGGCCACAGGCTTGCAGGGCTTGACATTTCCTTTGCAATTGCACTTTCTAAAAGAAAACATTTCTCTACCAACTATTTGATGGTAGTATTCTGTGTAGAGTTGGGGTTTAAGAAGAGAAAGATACTTTTATAATAAAACACATTGTTATTCTATAAACTGTTGTAAAGAAGCATACCTACAGTTGTATAAAATTTTTTAAAAGCCCTTCTAGAACTATGAGTAACAGACTTGCTTCAAAGACCGTTTAGTCACACTTGTATTCACCTTAAACCACAGTCTACAACGTGTGCTCAACAGCTTGCACCCAAATAGCATCTTGGGGTTTTTGGTACTGAGCATTGAACTCGGGACTTTGCGCTTGCAAGGCAGGCACCAGTACCACTGAGCTAAATCCCCGATCCCCAAATAGTGTCTTAACCGAAAAGATTCACTGTGATGGTGCTTTATAGGATCTCCAAAGTGCTTTCCTAGGTACTGCCTAAATCGAGCTTCAGATTACCCTTGTAATCCAGACAGGTAGCTGTTGTGTCCACTGTGGGAGTGAGGACACAGCTTTAGAGTGGGTGGCATGTCTGGAGATCAGAGAGCTCCCAGGATGAGGCTGATGCCCAGAGCAGGGCCTGGAGCCAGTAGATACTTAGTGCTGACAAGTGACTGAAGGGTGGGAAGTGAATGTCAAGTTGCTCATCAGGCAGTGTCTTAATTCCTGGTTCTACTACAAAATACAGAGTAGAAAGTCTGCTAAAGGAAGAGTTCTACTATAGACATTTTAAGCCTTCAAATAAAGGAATAAGAGTACTAGCCCTATTCATTGAGGTCTTACTATTTTGCCAGTGCTTTGTGTGTGTTAACTCATTTCATCTTCACACAGCCTCACGAGTGAGGTATCATGTTCCCTTAGTTGACTGATGAGCAAGCTGAACAGAGCAGTAAACATAATCAAGGTCACACATTTAGGCAGTGGCAGAGCTGTTATGTGAGTCTGCTCATCTACTTGCTGTATTGCCTCTCAGAGTCCTTTTTCTTTTAAACATAAATCTTTCATAGTTTTATGTAGTTAACTCTTCAAAGAACCCAAAAGTTATAACTTTTCATTATATATTCTCATTCAGGCCTTGGAATTGTCTGTATAGTTGTTTCCCAAAAGATTTTGTGTACCACTCTCCCTTCATTTCAGATATGCACAGTTTTTCTTAGCAAGTGGATGTAATAAAGGAACTCCTGTGTTCCATCCTTGCTGTTTCAGTTGATCTTCATTGGCACTTGAGACTTTGTTGTAAAGAACAACTAAATTCTAAGCATAAGACTGTCTCAAATCGTGAGTTTATTCCTGTCTAAGAAAATTTTGTTTCATTAGCTAAAGGAAGCTTAGAAATATAAAGTCTTCTGCTTTCTTCCAGCATAAATAATGCTGGTATGTAGACCACCCTACAGTAAAGTTTCTGCCAGGGTCAAGCAATTATTCCAGCATTAGATACTATTAAAAGGAATGAGGCAAAATCGTGCATACCGGTGATTATGACTCATGATTGTCCTTAACAGAATGCAAACATCTTTTCATTATTAGTTTGCTAGTTAAGCAGTAGTGTGGTGCAGTAAGGAATTTATCGATTTTGTTATAAAATCCCATTCTAAAATTCATAAGGAAATGTACTTAAGAAATTGATAGTAGTGTCACACTTTAAAAGTAATCACCCAAATTGCTTTTCCACCTGTTGCACATAGTTTATTTAAATGAAGAATTAGCACTAGTCTTAAGTCTCTGTTTTGTCCTGTATAATTCAAAGTTTGCTTTTCTTCCATTTCTTCACAATAGGGTAACAGAAAGAATAATATTAAAAGTTAGAGACTTGAATAATTACCTGTTAAGTATTCTGTGACTAACAAACGCTGGCTTTTGCATATAGTGGACCTGCATCTGAGACTGGCTGCCTGGCTTTCCAGTGGGCAAGTCTGAATGGAGAGCCTGGGTAAAGAGGCAGCTCTCCTCAGCTTTCCTGATACAACCCTTCTGTTTTGTAGTGTGCTGGTTTTTTGGTTTAGTCACTCAAAGGTTAGAGTTGAAGAGTTAAAGCCCTAGGCACTTGTGGAATGTTTGCCTAGTCTAGTTATTCATCGTTTGGTGTGTCCCTCTTCCTCCCTGGCTTGTGGCTGTCAAGTATACCAAAGGATATTTTGTTCTGTTGAAAGCCTCAGGAGTAAAAGGAAAGTGTTGCAAGCATTCCCAAACATACTTCCACCTGTCCAGTGGTGGTGAACCTGTGGCACACCACAGCAGGCTGTTTGTTATCATTGAAGGCTCTAAGAGGTTCGCCATCACTGACATCAGTGTTAAATTAAAAAGCACTAACCAAGCACAAGTGAGCCCTAAACAGCCTTATGAGTTTCTTCCTCTTTAAGCAGCAATTTAAAGGCCTGGTCATGAAATAGAGAGTTAAGGAAAATTGTCAGATATATATTTTTAAACAGTGAAAATGTAAAGGGTAGTGTGAACAAACATAGTTTACTCCCTTTTAATTTTAATGTCCTTGGTTACATATTTCCATATGAAAGTGAAAAGAGAACTATGCTAAGGAGTAGAGAAGAAAATCAGCTCTGATTTAAATATGACCAGTTTAAACAGAATTTTTGTTATTTCCTTTACCAAATTTGTGCTGTGCTCATGAGAAATATATAGTGAAGTAAACAAGACAAACCATTAGTTGATCGATTATGCTTACGAACAGTAAAAATAGACAAGTCCCTCATTGCCATGTAACTTCTATTTTTAAAATTTGTAGTCATTATCCTTAGTTCTACCAGAAACACTAGCCAGTTTTGTTTGTATTGAGTTGAAGGTATTGCTCATGAATGCCTGATACTTATCATTGCAGTTTACCTCCAAAAATTAAACTGTCACTTCCTCTCCTCACCTCAGGGTTCCCTCTTTAAAAACTAGTAGTTTCTCCAAAAGTTTTGGTGAGTTACATAAGCAACCATAGACAATGAAAGAATGATTTTGTAGAATAATTTTTTTCTAGAATTCCTAATCAGTTTTCAGAGAGGGAGAACAATACCCTGTGTGACTTCAAATTAATTTTCTCTACTTTGAGGTGTAACTTCCTGATTATATTTTACAAAGCCTATTATTTTAAAAAAAGTTTAAAAGCCTCTTGCTAGGATGTATCGAGAGCCAGTTTATAAAGCTTGTTATTGCTGCCTCAACTTTACATGTGAGTTGTAGACAGAATCAAAGTTTGCTGTGTAATTGAGATTCACCTATATTTCAAATTACAACATTTCATAAATATATGTCACATTATAGAGATGGAGACTCTTCCTGATCTTTTGTGTGAATAATTTGTGGTTTTATTTCTGAAACTAGAGTTGATCTGTGCTGATTTCATACCTATCATTCCAAAGATCTGATTATATTTATTTTCTTTGGTAATTAAAAATGCAATGAAAATCTAATTTCAAAGTCAGATATTGATATTTCTAGACATGGTCTAGTTCTATAAGAATTTACTTGTGAATTTTAAGTATTTGATGTAGATAGATTAATATATTTTCATAGAACACTTTTTCTAAACTTATTTCAGGACTGTATTAGTCGCTTTTTTCAGGTGTATGTGGTAACTGTTTGGAATGAGAGTGCAGTGCCTTCACCAACTCAAAAATGATGTAATACATGTGATATCATAGAAGGCGAATGTGTTTATACTGTACATGGAAACCTAATGCCTCTTTTCTAAAGCTTTGTACTTTTTCCATGAAATAAATATTTTCTCCTGAAGCCATATTTCTGTTTCAATATGCTTTCTCTTTTAAATATATCATGAGATGATTTTACTACTTGGAAACCAGCAAGCCGTGGTTTATTTGAACTTTTGGGAAAATAAGGAGCATAATAGTTTTTTAAAAATCTGTAACCATATACTTCAAAAATCAAATTGTAGTGGGCCGGGGATTTAGCTCTGTGGTTTCGCCGCCTGCTGCTCAAGCCCAAGGACCCCGAGTTCGATCCCAGGTACAAAAAAATCAAATCATAGTAATCACTATAGAAAAATTTTAATATGTTGGGAAATGATGATCTGTTCAGTAAATAGTAGTGGGAACCTTTGAAAAGAACAACAAAAATTAGATCTCTGCCTGACACAGTGCACACAGAATTTGAAAGGAAATAATGACTCAACATAGAATTATAAAAATGCCAGAAGGTAAAGGAAAAAGTGTGTTGAGGGTGTGATTGTCATTCCTGAGAATGACCTAAAATCCAAAAGCAGTGATTGGAAAGACTGGCGTGTATGTCCACGTACAATTTTAACCGTCTGTAACAAAAGAATAAAAGTAAAAATTTAAAAGGAAAGGACAAGTTTATTCCCAAAACACAAGGTAGATATAGAATTAATGTGTATACTCATAACATGTGAAGAGCTCCTATAAACCAATGAGAAAAACATTCTACTTGAAGAAGTAAAGGATGTGAGCAGGCAAATCCTAGAAGAGATACAGTAAAGATGTCCGGTCCCTCTAAATCAAGAGTTACAAATTCACTCTGCTACTAATTAAGTGGCTACTAACTGAGTTTTTTCGTCTTTTCTAGGTCCAGTGATGAACAGACTAGACAAGGTTCCTGTTCTAGATTTTGTGTTGTAGTTGAAAGAAATGAATGCCTAAACAAAGGGGTTAATTACTGTAACAGGGTGCCTAGGAGAGCTCAGGCCTCACACTTGTATTTGAATGATGAGAACTCATCCTGCGTGCACCTGTGGAAGTGCAGAGAATGTGTAAACCACTGTTTCTAAAGAGGATCTGCCAATTACACTAACACTGGCAAAGTGTATGAGAGCTGGTGAATCCACATTCTATCTGACTACTGTCAGACTTAAATTTTTGCCCTTCAAATGTAAAATTAATTATTGTGTTGATTTGTATTGCTGTGACCATTATTGAAACTGAATAGTTTATATTACTGATCACATAATTGCACTTCCAGAAATTGATTCAGTAGAATACTTGCGTATGTGCACAGGAGTATCAGCATTACAATAGTATAAAACTGAAAACAGCCTAAATGTCCACCAGTAGGGAAATAATAATCCAGCCTTGCAGTGGATACAGTGCAGCCATTCAAAAGAATTACAGATACCGTACTTACACAGTACAAAGAATGCAAGCTTCAGAATTAGTGTCAATATTCTAAAAATATGCATACATATATACATAAACACTCCTTTGTACAGTTAATACAAAACTAAAAAATGATCGTGCAAGCTGAAACCTCAAAGCAACCACAATAATAAGTGTAACAAACTATGGTTGTTTCATGACCTTTAAAACATTAAAAACTATAAATATATGATTATAAATATATGGGGAACTGAAAAAAATAGTAAAGCTAATACTTATTTAACATGACAAGACATAAAATACTGAGAATTAAAATTTTTGTCAAATATCTCTCCAAGAGTATTTGAACAGTGCCTGCTTTCTTATAATTTATGATACAGAGCAAGTATCATAACTATGCCTTGGCAAATTGGCATAGTCCTTTTATGCTTTCAGTTGTGAAGTATCTCCAAGAGTTCTTTAATGTGAAGTTTTGTGCCACCATCACGTCCTCTGTGGTGTCATCTTTTCATTGCAGCCACTTTCTTCATTTGCCTTTTTAAGTTCACCTTCACTGAGTTACTCTAGCTTCTTTGCTATCTCTCTCTGTGTTTGGTTGGTTGCTTGGTTGGTTGCTTGGTTGCTTGGTTGGTTTGTGTCAGGGTCTCACTGTGTAGTTCAGGCTGACCTTGAATTCACTGTGTAGCCCAAGCTGGCCTCAAACTCGCTACCATCTTTCTGTCTCACCTTCCAGACTGCTGGGACACAGGTGTGTATCACCACACCTGGCTCTGGGTTATTATCTCGAGTCTGTTAGTGACAGTATTGCCATCTGTAGGTCATTTCGGATTTCGCTTCCGTTGTTAACACTTTTCATTTCTTTGTTGTACTTCTTGTCTTTATATTCAATTCCCTCTTCTGACTCATCATTTTTGTAAAATTCACGTGGTTCTACCACTAGGAGACAAGAAGGCAACACAGCTACATGTCTACTGTCTGTGTAAGAATGCACAGTGCCTAGTCACTCACAGATTTAAAAGAAGTGCCATTAGTTTCTCGTGAACACATCTGTGATTACATGGTGAGTTGTGGACTGATGAACAACACTGAATTTTGTAACAAATTTGATCATGTGCTTGGAGGAACCAGTGAGGAGGTGCATACCAGAATTTTTCAAGGACTGCCTGCATACTTATTGAAAAATACGCAAAGGATGAGCAAAAGATACGGTGAATATTTACATTTTTAAAATTTATTATAGCAAAAGGCACATTGCCATTAATACCCCTCAGGATATTCCCCCTTGCCTCCAACACTTATCCCATCATCCTTGCCACTTCCTGAAGCAGTTCTAGAAGTCCTCTGTCATGAGTGTCTTTACCAGATGTGATCATAAAATGACAGATCCTGCAACCAAGTGCCAACCAAAGAAAGGCAGGCTCATAAAACAGTACAGTGGTGTCCTCATCCACCTCATTCACTGGATCTGGAACTGTGACTTCTGTCTCTTCCCCAAAGTCAAAATGACCATGTAGGAAATTGATTCAAGACATACAGGCAGCCATGACAGCACAACTAATGACACACATGAATGTACATGGCTAGATAGATGCTAGTATTAATCTTACATATTTTTATATCAGTTAATTTTTACAAATTAATTTTTGTCAAAATTTTAATAGAATTTTTACCACACTTAATAAGATTACTTGTTTCTCACAGATTCATATTTTTTCTTATGTGCATCTCTCGAAAAGATACCCAGAAAGATAATGAAGAGTGAGTGATACAAGAAACAATGTTTAGTAATGAATGTTTGTTGAGGGGAAGGTTATGAATATGTGCAGAAAATGCAAAATGAGTATAAACTTGCCTCACAGCCTAGTGTCCTGTCTCCTTGGTGCCAGCTGACCTGGCACTGACATCTAGCAACAGAATGATCTGGAGCAAATTACAGTACTTATCTCCATGTGCATCCAGTTTCCATCCTATACAAGAGAGATTAGTACCTCAAGAAATCATTTTATGTAATGTTAAAAAAGCATATAGCACAGTGACGTGTAATTGTTCAGAACACTGAATGGTTCACACCCCAGGGAAGTGAGTCTTCTGCTAGTGCATGTCTTCAGATAGTCTGTAGGACAGAGGCCCAAGGGTTTATCACTTCAGGTGTGACTAGATGAAGTGATGACTAGATGACCTCAAGTTCTGAGCCATCCTCACAGTTTGTTTTGGAATCTATAAGGACAAATCTGTTTAGTTTTATTCCAAAATAGTAACTTGTTATTGATACCTTTTAGGACTTCATAAAATAATTGTTTAGAATGAGACATACTCAACAAACCAACACAAGTAGTACACTTGCCAATAACAAAATTTTAATAGGACTAAAAATTATTTAAAATGCTTTAATGTTGTGTATCCACAATCTCTAACTAACTCTATTTATATTTTGAACTTATAACTAGGTAAGGAACTCAGAAAGATCTTAAGGTAAAAAAGTGGGTACCTGTATTCACTCTTGGTTTTGCTTTTGGCAGTACTGGGGATTGAACCCAGGACAAGTGCGGTAAACTACAACCCCAGCTACCATAACCTCCAGCCCCCATTTTTAAAAATTTGAGACAGACTCTTGCTAAATCACCAAGTTGCCCAGACTGGGCTGGAGTGTGTAATCCAAATTATAGGCCTGTGCCTCCAAGCTCCAAACAGTTTGGTTTTTTTTTTTTTTTTGGTACCGGGGATCGAGCTTAGGTTCTTGTGCTTGCGAGGCAAGTGGCGGAACCACTGAGCTAAATCCCCGGCCCCACCTCCTCCTTTAAGTTGTGTGTGTCAGGTTATTTCTCCCAGCAGTGGGGAAGCTGACTAATACAATATGCAATATACATATATGGTATATATGTGTATATTGGACAAGTCACAATTTCTATTCTCTCATGACTCCCAAAGTCAAATTTAGTCATTCTCAAGTACAATTTTAATAAATAGTAACTAGTCAAATTTTGAAAGTTATGATTTTTAAATATGTTGAGTATATTTTAATTTCAGTTGCTAAGAGAAGCTAAGTGATAGTATCACTGTTTGCTGTTACTTCCCCTTACTGAAGAAACCACTCAACTGCCATTGGCAAAGTAGGGAGGTCCCTAAGAGAGGCGGAATTCTGTAATCCTGCCAACACATGATAAGCACTCATTTCCCCTAATATGTTCAGGATTTTAATTTAAAAAGAGTCACCCCATTTGGCAGGTTGAAATCCAGTTTTTCCAACACCATTTATTAAATAGGCTATCTTTCCTCCAACGGTGGTGGTTGGCTCCTTTGTCAAAGATGAGGT